AGGCCTTTTCTCATTCCTGTAAACAAAAGCACCATCTCGAGGCTTGTGTCGACCAAATACAGTGATTTGTATGACATTATCCACCCAAGCATTAACCTTTGCTTTATTTTGTCAGCTTTCTGAAGCAAAAGCAATCTACCAAGAGTTTTGAAGCACACTTTCAGCGTGTTTAAACTATCTGTTTTTCTCTACCTGCCTAGATTAGCCCTGCTATTTTCGGGTCGAGAGCAGTTTTGTCAATTTTCGTTTAAACTACTGAAATTAACTTGCAACTTAAAACTTCAACGCTTTTAAGAGCGACTTGTTTTATACGGGCAGAAAATTGTACGAGAAGTGCACAGCGTAAACGAGTCCCTAGCAACGCACTTTCAAGATCTTTCAAGATTTCAATGGCCGTGTCAAGTACAATCATCATTGTATACTCACCTTCACTCCTCGCTGGCAGCTATTTTCTAGGTGGGAGGGGAGGGTCGGAGGGTAGCAAGGCTGGCTAGACCCCTCCCCACCTTTGATAATATTTAATGAACGTGGGTCTTTAAACTGCAAGACCCTGACCCTTTTTTATTCTTGGAAAGTTTGTGGTTTGGGATTAGGTTTACTCTGAGACAAGTACGTAAAGCCCATGTTGCTTGACCTGGCTCAGACTGCGTGAGTATAAACTACCTAAGAACAATATGTTTGATCAAGAAATTTGTTTTTAGGTAATTCCACGTAGAATATATATAGTTGCTCACAGAGAATTACTTTGCAAACAATTCATGTTTTCAGTTTCCCATAAAGAACAGCTGTTAAGGTCAAAAGATATTTAGCCTGCGATCATGCCCTCTCCCTTTATCTCTGTAATCTGTTTTCGAGAGGAGGGCATGGTAGATTTCTTTCACAGAATGCAAAAAAGCCAGAAACTGGACTTTTTTCTGATTGGATAGGAAACAATACGGATGATTAGCGCTGTTCCTATTGGCCAAAATGCCGCCATCCGTTAGTTGCGTAATGAGCAGTGAATACACAAGCGAGTTCGTTATGAAATTTCTGCCTGCTCAGTTTTCTTGGATTTGAAGAATGTCCAAATAGAAATTTCATCCATTGAAATATTTTCCATTTCATCGTATACTAAAAATTGCAGTAAAAAAATTCACCGATCATTTGAATGCAATTTGATACCGGCTTCAAGTTAAAGAAGCGACAAACGGGTTCACTGCAATTCATGAATGGAATCTTAATTGAACGGGGTTTAACTGTAA